GTTTCCACATCAGTGGTGTTTGTTCTGATATCTGTAGCTTTAACAGAATTCTGTGCCGAGATTCCACTGAGATGTTATTAATTCTGTGGCGAATTTGACTACTTTCTTCACTGTATCTCCCAGCGCTGTGTATAATGGTGTCGCGTGATCAAGATCAGCCCGCGGCTCCGGCCCGAGCAGATAAACGGTCTAGCACGGATTCGTTCCGCTTTCGGTTCGTTTGTCCAATGTAGCTCTTGTAAATCGGTCATGATGAGAACGCAGGGATGTTCATTCCATTTTTGGAACTGAGAAACAACCTTTCTTTGACTGAATGCGTGTTGCCATGACGTCACGGGACGCGTCTAAGCCCAAAATTTGCGAGCTTTTGCGAAAATTGCAGAGTTTGCTTGATTTTGCGATAAATTGAGCGATCGCAGAATCGCAAAATCCTGGAGTGACTGATTTGGCCTCTTACCTCATGCACCAAATCAGCGTTTTAGAATGATTTCTGAAGGATCATGTGACACTGAACACAGCCATTACAAAAATATATTACAATAGAAAACGTTTGTTTTTAATTGTAATAATGTAATAAATGTAGAAGTATTTGTGTGTGTTTAAAAGCGTGTCTTTACAGTATACTATGCTCTCCCATATATACTGTTTGCAAGGACAAACAGTAGTTGCGGAGGAAACTCTGCAAACTCTTACCAAAAAAAAAAAAGACTCAAATGGGAATAAGTTCAAGCTTTTAATATTTAGTTTAATGTTTATAAAGGCTGTCTTATATAATCTATTTTGAGGACGCATTTCACTATTTATGCCATGCTAGTCTGACTCTGCTTTAGTCTCACAGCTCTCTCTCTGTCTCATGATCACATGGTGGCCTTCGCGCTTAAATATTTAGTGATAAGGTCAGAATTGCACCTACAGATAACTGATGGCCATACGTGCTTCCCTCCCAAACAAAATACTTTTTTTGCACCTAGGCTTTCTGAGCATTCACTGTAATATATGTTGTTTTGGGGTGGTGGATGCCCACTTTCATATTTGGTGGTTTATTATTACCACTATGACATGATCTCTGCTCCTTTATAGATACCTTCGGCTGTATGGGAGAAAGTTCAGCAAGGAGGATCATGTGCTCTTCATCAAGCTTCTGTACGAGCTGGTCACCATCCCCAAGCTGGACATCAGCATGATGCAGAGCTTTGCACGACTCCTCATCAATTTACTGAAGTACGCAAGTGTCCCCAACAAACACCTGACCATTGCCACATATCTGAGAATAACACAGTCGAATTGTTGGTCGATTAAAATCTTTATTTACATGAATTACATTATTAATTCTTCAAAATAATTGCATATATCAAAATAAAACAAAAAAGAAATAAAATCAAGGTAATTCAACGTTTATTGTTGTTATATGAAAATTTGTTATTTCCATATAATTGAACACAAGACCCTGGCTATTATTAATGCATTATTATTCTTGTTATTTGTTATTATTATTCTTATTTTATTATTATTATTTGTTTATTATTTGTTTATTTTGTTATAATGAATTACACTGTTTTAAAAAAGCCTTGCTTATAATTGAATGAATTCCTAATGTTTCTGAATGCTCTTTTTTTTTAATGTACAGGAAGAAAGAACTGCTGTCCCGGGATGACTTGGAATTGCCTTGGAGGCCTTTGTACGATCTCTATGAGAGTATCCTGTACTCAAAAACTGAGCATCTCGGTCTTAACTGGTTTCCAAAGTAGGCCTCTTGCACTTTTTCATCTTTCTACCTATCTCTGCCATCATCTCACTGATTCTAGTTTGTTGTGAACTATGGATACAAGTTCAAACAAAATTTTACATGTGACTGGACTCTGTTTTATAGTAGCATGGTACCTGATGACCAGGCCCACACGGACTGACTTTAAATTGGCATTATTCACAAAGTTTTACACGCTCACAATCCACGCTTGGAAGTTTGCTTATTTAAAGCTCTAGCTAATTTGATTATGCTTTCAGCTACTGTATATACCATATTTATTATATATTTAATATTAGTTATACCATATTTAAACCCATTCAACAGATTTCCCTGCCAAAATCAGCACAGAAAATGTGAAATGAAATCTTCAGTTTCTTTGTGGGCCTGCTCATGACATATTTGCAGAGTGTTTCTGTATGGTGAACACACATTTGACACAAGGGTCATTTTACAGGGCAAGGTGAGGTTTAAGGGAGGAAAAAACTTGTCAGTGCCAAGATTGGTTCATGGGGAAAAAAAAGGACCCTGATGTACTGCCTAAGATTTAGCAATTTGCTTTATCTTGTTTTATTTTTGTCTTTCAGTTGGGACCTTTTACTGAGCACTGCTGACTCTTGTAACACAACCATTCCCGTTTAAAAGATTGAGATTGATGACTTGATTGAGATGTTGTTGGTGTGTCTAGCATTGGCTTATGCATTTTTCCTTTTTTCACATTCAGTTATCGAGCAGAAGCCTCAACTAAACAAAAAATGCTTAATATTGTGCGCAAGCGGTAAGCACAGCCAGTGTTTTACATGTTGCACTGTACCTTTCCAAGGGCAGCCGCTTTGATGTTTATTTGCATGTGTCCAAAATGAAAAGCAAATCAACAGTCTAAATGAAAATCCCACCACAGCTTACACCTGCATTTGTATTTATAATCTTTGTTTCTGTAGTAGCCGAGTCGTATCCACTTAATAACATGCTTCATAAGCAGATCAGGAAATGGTGCTCCTTTTAAAGTTTCTAATATTTCATCTTTGTCTGTCAAACACAATTCCTGGATGCTCAGAGGTGTCAGTCAGCTCTTATATTTAGGCTGAAGAACTCTCCTGACCAACTGTAACAGCACAATGACAAAAAGTTTTTGTAAATAACTGTTCTCCAGCACACCTCCTCCAGGAATGGGATAGACTCATCGCTGTGACTTCATTCTCTTAATCTAAGAGTCTTTTGATTTGTTCTCTCAGGTGGGCAAAGGGTTTATATTAAAAGAAGTTACTAACCAAAGCTGCGTTTTCCAAAAGCATCATAAGCCTGTAGAGTGCAACAGTTGTGTTCTGGAAGCAAAATTTATGTTCATTTTCTCCATAGGGAAATAATTAAAGACAGACCAACTGTGAGTTTCCGAGGTTGTTAACTGATGGTGTATACTTTTGTTGAAGCCATGTGTTTACATTATTTCAACTGGTTTTTATGGGTACACTGCGTAACTGTTACTAAACAAAAGTGCATGCATCTTGCGGAAGAACAATGTAGCCTGGAGCTACTTCTCTCTTTTTATGGATATGATAAGTCGCGCAGGTACTGGGCTACTCTGCAGCGGATGTCGTCCCGACAGGTCTAAAATAGTCTGAATATAAAAACTTCTTATAGGCATAACGTAGTGATTCAGGATAAGACAAAAACACGGTTTTAAATATACACACAAACAATATATAAATATTCATAGAAAATATATTGTTTCTATAGATGTAATCAACAACTTAAAATTAATTATAACGCTTTAACAAAGACTTTAAAAAAAAATTCCTATGGGAAAAAATTAATGACAAAAATATTTCCTGAACCAACACCACTGAAAAAGTAAGCATGGACTATTGCACTCTATAGATTGTAGAGGCCAATTGTACAAATGATATAGTGGGATAGTTCACCTAAAAACACAAAAGATATTTTGAAGGTTGAGAACCAAACAACATTGGAGCCCAATTACTCCTATTTTATGGACAATAAACAGAAAACAGACAGACGTTTCTCAGAAAAATGTCTTTGTGTTCCGCAGAAGCAGGAAAGTCATACAGGTTTGGAACGATGTGAGGGTGAGAAATGATTGAATTTTCATTTTAGGGTGGACTATCCCTTTAAGCTTACAGCGCTTTTGGAAAACACAGTGTAGTCTGTTGTCAGTCCTATTTCTTTTAGGTCAGGCTGTATATGTGGGTCGGATCACTTTGGCTCGCTGTTTTAGAAGGCAAGGTCACCCAACTTTTGCCAATTTTCCCCTTGGGTTCTGGTATCATTGTGTTCTATTTTAATCTCGATCGAAATGAGAGTGTGCTGAATGTGGAAGGTGTTTGCTTACACTTGTACTAAGAGGAAGATCAACAGCTGCCGTGTCTTGCTAAGTTTCGCTGGGGGTGTATTTTTAGAACTAGGGATGTACAAGACAACATATTTTAATTATTAGCTAGTCAGTGAATTATCTGAACAGCTAGTTGACAAGCCTGTCTTAAAGAGATACTCCCCCCAAAATGAAAATCCCACCATGTCGTTGCAAACCTGTATGACGGACTGACTTCTGCGGAACAGAGGATATTTTGAAGAACTCTGGGAACCAAACAACATTGGAGCCCATTGACTATTTTTATGTTCCACGGAAGAAAGAAAGTCATGAATTTTGGAATGACATTAGGGTTCGTAAATAATGACAGAACTTTCATTTCTGGGTGCACTGTCCTTTTAAGTAAGCCATGAATGATCAGGATCAGTAGACCCCAATCAGATGTGTTTTTAAGGGGCTTAAATTAGTGTTCTTGCATTCAAAAAACAGATGGATTGACCACATCAGAATGGAACAGAATGCAGGTTTAGTAAATCATAACTTCACACGATATGTTAAAAATGCCACATTCATGGTGCAGAAGAGTTAAAATGGCACAGAATGAATCACAGAACCCTTCAGGAGCATTACTGATAGAAATCGAATAAATGTTTTGGCTTAATATTTATAACATTTCATAGTACATCACTATCATATTCCTCACAAAAATACTATTGACTATCTGGCACCACAGCCAAATATATTAAGGCTAAAATCCTTATCAAATAGTTCACCATACTAATCTATCTCTCTGTACAGCATTTAGTAGCATAATTGTATTCTTAAAGTCATAATCCACAGCCAGTGGTTTGCACTTCTTGGCCAACTGTGATGAGGTAAAAAAATATGTATTTAGGAGCAGCTTCCTGATTTGAATTGGCTGTTAATGTTAATGGCTGACTGTATTCAGCGTTTTTGAGCTCCGTTATAAAACGGACCTGAGGAGAACCTGATAACCTGGCATGTTGCACTCATGTGCCCGGGCTCTGGTGTTGGGAAACTTTCATTTACACTTTCACAAAATGCACTGTAGTTGGGTTTTTGCTTTGCATGTGGTCTAATCGCATCTATTGCTTCAACCTCAAATGAGCCTAGCCTTTCATACTATATTAATGCACTTCCTTTCTCTGTCTCTCCCCTTTTCCTCCCTTTAGCTCAGTGGAGAATGTGTTGAAGACACTAGTCAAGAGCTGCAGACTGTAAGTGCTCTTTCAGTCTTCCGTCATTCACTAATGTGCCTATAAATGTTCGACCCCTTTCACAAAAGAATTGCACATTGTGTTAATCAGCTTTCTCACTGAGCCGATTACAGCTCTCTTAACACATTATACCGTTGACCGTTTCATTCATATAACAACCACTTTTCATCATTTTGCAAGAGCTCACATAACAAATAAACAACCATGGATCTGAGAAAATAGCATGTGATTTGGTTCTCATAATGTTTGTGTGTGTGTCTGTGTCTGTGCATAGTTATTTCCCTGAGTCCGCTACACAGGAGATGCTTGATGAGTGGCGGCCATTACTGTGCCCGTTTGATGTCACTATGCAGAAGGCCATTAGCTACTTTGAGCTCTTCTTGCCCACCATCATGCCCCCAGAACAGCATCACAAAGGCTTCAAGTAAGGCTCTCTTGTGCAGTTTAGTAATGAAATTAGGTTGGGATCTAATAATAAATTGGTCAGTATTCATAAAGTGCATCCAATAAGTCTGAGCCAGTGTAATAGGAGGATTTGTGCATGTTTTAGGTTATGGTTTGATGAAATGATGGATCTCTGGGTTTCAGTGCAAAACCTGCCTGCTTGGGAGGGTGTAAGTACTTCTCATTCATGAATTAATTTGTTAAGTGCTAAATATTATGTCACCATTGGCTTTCTATCCTCTGTTAACTCTTGTTTCCTCTTACAGAATTTAGTGAATATTTTTGCACGTCTGGCTAATGACAACATTGGCTATGTGAACTGGGATCCGTACATTCCCAAGGTACTACTATCCTGCTTATATATGCTACTGTTCAAAAGCTTGGGGTCATGTTTATGAAAGAAGTCTTTTACCAAGGCTGCATTTATTTGATGAAAAAAACCCCAGTAAAAACAGCAATATTGTGAAGTATTATTACAATTTAATGTATCCATTATTTTAATATATTTTAAAACAAAATTTAATCTTGCAATCTCCAGTCTTCTGTGTCACATGATCCATTAGCTCAAACAGTTGTGCTGCTTAAAATTTGTGGAAACTGTGATGCATGATTCTTTTCGTGATTCTTTGATCAATAGAAAGTTCAAAAGAACAGCATTTATTTGAAATCCTTCCTGAATATCCTTCCCAAATTATTGCCAAAAAAAATCTTACTTGACCCCAGACTTTTGAACCATAGTGTAGATGATGATCTAAAGATATCAGAGCATCTTATCAGAGCATTTTATACTGATAGTTTGTTGTCTTGCTTCAGATCTTCACTAGGGTTCTGCGTAGCTTCAATCTCCCTGTTGGCACCAGCCAAATGATCGTTCCCAGATATTTGAGCAACTCCTACGATATCGGTCACGTGGTCCTCTGGATTTCCTCCATGCTAGTAAGTTTCATGAGTCACACTCCTCCTATAAAAGGTTAATTATTAAAGGGTGCATTTATTTACAGATCTTTATGATTTTTTTTCCCAGGGCGGCCCACAAAACCAGGTCCAGAAACAGCTTAATGGGCTCTTCAGTAGTATAGCATCTTTCTACCACCCTTCAAATAATGGGCGCTGGCTGGTAAGATGTTCCCTATTAGGATAAACATCCAGAACAATATGGTGCAATGCAAGATCTTGTCCCCCTTAAAGTCCAGCCCACCCCTCGAATCCATTCTAGAACTGACTGTGGTCTGTGTGTTGTCAGCTGAGATTTATGCTTGCGTGCAAGAGGGAGATATGCAGTGACAGATGGTCCTCTGACAGAGTGAGGTCACTCCACATTCCAACTACTGAAACACCACTAAAAACTTTCCAGTTACTGACCACCTATCATCCTAGACATGCATCCTTTTCCTGCACTCATGACTCAGTAAAGTACCATACAGTATCATAAGGGTAGTTTGCAAACTCAATATGGCAAGCCTTTGTTCTTTGAAACCAAATGTTATTCAAGAGTGTTGATGCCAAGAAGTACTACTAAGTCTTTATGCCTTTGTGCTACTTTACTGTTCAAAAGTAGTGATGCACCAAAATGATTTTTTTACTGAATCACTAGTGAAAACTGGAACAGAAAATAAGGTTTGAATAATACATTTGATTAATTGAACTCAGTATGATGTTCAGGGTGTTAGGTAGGTGATTTAAACCTTATTAAAGTTCTTCAGCAACGAACGACCTCTTGATATCTCAGCTAAACAGTTTTTGCATATTGCTACTTTAGCATCCATTTTGTCACAGTGAAGTACATCCACACTGATGGCATATTTAACTGTTGTAGCCTATCCACATTGTGTGCAATGCATGAAGTAGATGTTAAATCAATCCATTATTATTGTTTTAATTATAACTTAAATAATCTTAAGCATTTTAATTTGGTACCACAAACTTTGGAAAACAGTTGTGGTATTTGAAGAAGTTTGAAAAGCCCATTGCAGTGTTTATTTTTCAGATGCTAAAGTATTGACTTCACCAGTCCAGTTTTGTTTTTAAAATGGCCAAAAAAGAATCTAATTTCTCTAGAAACCCTGTAGTTTATTGTTCTGAAGGCTGTTCCATGCGTGAGTAGCGCTACTGTCTTGGAAGAAGATGCAAACTTTATCTAGCCAGGACTGAGAAAAGTAGACATTCTCTATAGTTTGAGAATCCTAAAACTTAATTGGAAAAAAAAAAAATACCTGCCAAATGCTGGTTTCGTCTGCAACAGTCAAGAGAAGACTATGGGATGCTGCTGGCATTTTAGATGGGATTTCCAAAAAAAGCTTAATCTCATGTAGGGCTGGGTGATATAGCTAAAAAATGTATCAACGATATAATGTTTCATATAGTTCGGTATCGATAATTATTGACATTTTTTATAACCTTTTTTTTCTTTTAAAACAAAGAGCAATAGATTTTTTTTTTTTTTTAATTTAACCACTGTATTTTTAAATTAACCCAATTTATTGAGACAAACAACAAATATTTTTTGTTTTAACAATCAAACACAAAATAAAAATTAAACAAATATCTCATTTCTAATGTTTTATATGCAGATGAAATAGGTTTTAAGGAAACTTTTATCTTGTCTCCCGAGGCCACAGGAGGGCGCAATGAGCAAAATAATAGCACATTTAACCCTCTACCGCACGCATTATGATAGACCTATAGAAAAAAATATCCATATGGCTACACCATGCGGTAGAGGGTTAAATTGTCAACTCAAGGAAATAACTGTCTATAAAAACCATGCATTGTCTAAATTAACTCATAAAAATCAAATATAATTTCGTAAATTGCATAAACAATTATGCACAAAATAGAATCATATATTTATGCATTGCTTAATCCAAAGAGCCGAAGCACCATTCACACAGATTGCATTTAAAAACATATGAGACGCAGTGAAAAGGAATAAACCTCCACAAATTCGTGACATGTTTTCTAAAAGTTTAAAGTGTTTTAATTTTGCATGACTTTCTATACATCTCTTGTGTGAGACGCGAGTGCAGCAGTCGTACTTGTCTGTCTAAAAAATGTGCTGAATATGCGGTCTGTGTGAATGGCTTGGTTTCTGTTTTAACTTAATCAAGATCTTCTCCGCATTGAGCTACTATATTTCTCTAATATTTTGAATGAATAACGCAGCAGCGGCGTCATGAGCTGATAACTATTATGGGAGGTGCTACAGAAAACATAGTATGAAATGGTCCGTGTACCTTTTGGTCATCTGATTTTCTGCATAAAAAGAAATAAAGAGAAATGAGAAATGGTTTGATTTTTCATTTTTTCGGAAATGAAAAAAAAAAAATCGAAAAACAAGACTTAAGCTAGATTTTTTATTTTTTTTCATGGGTAAAAAATTTGATTATGCTTTAATATTTGTTTTGAATGTGTGGGTCCCCCATCTTCTGTGCTACATCGTATATGCGGCAACCACAAGCTCAGTTCGTGTAGGCTTTTCACTTACAAGAAAAACAACAAAAAATACAACTACTATAGAAAATCAAAAGACCAGAAGGTACACGGACCTGAAACTTTAGCTTAATTTTGTACGGGATTAATGAGTTTCCAAACTCCAAAATTCATTTGTTTTGGCCATCTGTGTCATATATTAATATCACTGCCCTCTTCTCCAGATGAAGCTGATGAAGCTTCTACAGCGTCTGCCTGCCAGTGTTGTTCGGCGGCTACATCGGGAGCGCTATAAGAAACCCTGCTGGATCACCCCTGTTCCCGCCAGTCACAGACTCACGGACCAAGATGTGACAGACTTTGTGGAGAGCATGAAGCAGCCGGTACTGATGGCCATGTTCAGCAAAACAGGCAGCATGGATGCAGCTCAGGCCTTGCAGAACCTGGCCCTGATGAGACCAGAGCTGGTCATCCCACCTGTGCTGGAGAAGTGAGTGTGTGGAGCTGCTGGAGATGTTCAGGGCCTGTAGGCGCCAATATAAGGCATATAACACTGACTAATCAGGCTAATTTACAAGATTTACATAAAAAGAAGACCAGCAAAGTGAATTCACCCCCACAGTCTTTTTTTTTTTTTATCTATTCTGATAAATTTGTTCATATATGATAATGTATAACTGATGAAATGTTAAAAAAAATTATATATTATATATATATATATATATATATATTTATATTAAAATAATTTTGTAGTATTTCAAAATTTGTTAAAGATGAGTTGCAGTATAAATTCATTAGTTAAAGTCATAAAGCTTTATCATAGCCTGTATAGTGGCTTCTTTTATTCACTGTCGGGATTTACAAATCCAATCTTTGTAAATAGGCTTTGTAAGTAGTCGTCTTAGAATCCAGCTGGACTTTTTCCCAACTAAAAGCTAATGTGTATGTGCTGCCCCCTGCAGGACGTATCCTGCTATGGAGACACTGACAGAGCCACACCAGCTTACTGCCACTCTCAGCTGCATGATTGGTATGGCCCGCAGTCTTCTCAGTGGTGGCCGACATTATCCCGAAGGTCCCGCGCACGTCCTGCCCCTGCTAATGAGAGCACTGCCTGGTGTTGACCCTAATGACTTCAGCAAATGCATGGTGGGTAAACTGTGAAATAAACATTAACAATGGTGTTCTTGAAACAATCAAATAAATCAAACCATAATATGACAGTTAAAAATGTTGATTTCTTGTTGTTGCTCTCTCGGCTGATTTTATTCATAATTGACTTAAAATGATGTTCACATATTTTGTTTTTAGATCACGTTCCAGTTCATTGCTACTTTTACTACTTTAGTGCCTTTGGTGGATTGTTCATCAGCCCTCCATGAGAAGAATGACTTGACAGAGGTAGGGCTCTGAAATTGTATGTAAAAGACCCACTGCAGAGATTTTACATAATTATTCTGTCTGGATTCGTCATAAAATCTTTTATTTGTTGTAGATGGTGAGAGAGTTGTGTTCGGCTTCTGCTGAGTTTGAAGACTTTGTTCTGCAGTTTATGGACAGGTGAGTCATTTAGTGAGATGTGTGCTTGAAAAAGTATAATACACTATTGTTGTGGCTTATGCCCTGTTGTGTGTGTCTGTAGGTGTTTTGCATTGATTGACAGCAGCACTCTGGAGCAGACGCGCGAGGAGACGGAGACCGAGAAAATGACTCATTTAGAGAGTCTGGTGGAGCTGGGCCGAGAGACTGTCAATATATTATTTGTGGCACCCATATACGCTACTGTTAAAAGTTTGGGGTCAATACGTTTTTTTTTTTATACTTTTATTCAGCAAGGATGCATTAAATTGCCCGAAAGTGACAGACATTTCTAATGTTACAAAAGAGCCCTGAATAATAAAATGTATCCCAGTTTCCTCAAAAATATTAAGCAACACCATTTTCACAATGTTTTCAAAATTGATAATAAGAAATGTTTGTTGAGTGACAAATCAGCATATTAGAATGATTTCTGAAGGATCCTGTGACACTGAATGCATTTAATAGGATTTAACTATTTAACTATTTATTTATTTTTTTACAAATTTTCTTTAATGAAAACACTCTTTATTAGAAAAAAGTCTCCTCTCTGTTGTCCTTAGATTTTGCTAACCTTACAAATGTAATTTTTAAAAAAAACATTTTTAGACAATTGAGTTGCATTTATTACAACAGCAGTCTCAAACTCTGTTGTTGTTTTTAACATTCTTGGCTTATATTAATCTGCGGCTTAAGCACGTCGGCACTGTGGTTGCATTTGTGTGAAGTCAACGAGGACAGCACAATATTTTTGTCTATATATATATATATATGTATGTATGTATGTATGTATATATATATGTGACAAATCAGCATATTAGAATGATTTCTGAAGGATCCTGTGACACTGAAGACTGGAGTAATAGATGCTTAAAATGTAGCTTTGACATCACAGGAATAACTTACATTTTAAAATATAAAAAATAGTTATTTTAAACTGTAATAGTAGTTCACTATATTACTGGTTTTGCAGTTTTTGTTTTTTTTTGACCAAATATATGCAGATTTGGTGGGCATAAAATTTCTTTCAAAAACTTGTAACCAAAAAAAAACAAAAAACAAATTACCAATCTCAAACTTTTGAACAGTGTATTTCCTTATGTACACCTAAATAGACTGGTGATATCTGTTAATGGCTGTTATCTGTCTGTAGGTGGCTCTCGAGAAAGTCTTCAACTTTGCCACCACCAACATCTTTGAGACTCGTGTCGCAGGCAGGATGGTGGCAGACATGTGCAGAGCGACTGCTAAGGTAATACTTTCTCTTTGCCCATCTTGTGCTGATACACATACAGCCGTGGGGCCACGTTGATTCAGCTGTCCTCTGCTTTGTTTCAGTGTCACCCTGCTGAGTCTCTCAGGCTGTTTGTACCACACTGCTGTAACGCCATTACTCATCTAACTGCCAGTACGTACAAGAACATAAATGTTTGTGTTATGTGGAGTCTGTGTCAGCATCCTCACTTGTGTTTTGGTGCATTTCAGATGAAGATGTTTCAAATGAGGAAGAACTGGATAAAGAACTGCTCTGGAACCTTCAGTTGCTTTCTGAGGTCAAAACAACACAATATCAAACTGCACATGAAAGATTTTGCACTGAAAAGCTTAAGCTGTATTGCAAAATCATGATAGCTGCCTATTTAGGCTACTTTTTTTTTATAGCCTCTGTCCTGTACTAATCCTCTGAGGCTGTACTAAACCGTAGGCATTAATATTATATACCTTGGAAGATCATTTCTGGATTCAGAATTTCAGACTCATATTCTTCATGGATAAATGACTAAATCAATCCTATAATGCTCTGGATTGATCATGTTTTCAGGTATAAAAATGTTTTATTAAACCCTACACATTTTTTATCAAAATTAAAATGCACTTTCACCAAATATTTTTTGTATGCTGTATATTTTTATGCTTATTAGATGATCAAATCCTTATATTAGCAACATGCTAAAGACTTAAAGAAATAGTCCACCCAAAAATGAAAATTCTTTCATTTTCTCACCCCTCATGTTGTTCCAAACCTGTATGACCTTATTTTTCTCAAGAGCATAAAAGAAGATAATATGCTGGTAAGAATGTTAGTAATCAAGTTTCAGTTCCCTAACATTGTATTTTTTTGTCCATATAATGGAAGTCAAAGGGAACCAAAACTGTTTGGTTATCAACATTCTTTAAAATATCTTTTATGTTTCATGGAATAAATAAAGTCATACAACTTTGGAACGACATGAGCATGAGTAAATAATAACAGAATTTTCATTTTTGTGTGGACTATCCCTTTAACTAGGCACAACTATGCAGTTTGTATCACACCGACTTGCTATTAGGAACATTAATGGAGTCATTGCCTGAAAAGAGTGTTTCAAATCCGTCACCCTACGTCTGTTAGACACTAGACAATGATTGCTGTGTATCTCACATTACCACCCCTCTTGCTGATCTTCAGGTGAGTCGTGTGGATGGAGAAAAGCTCCTCCCGTACCGCACACAGCTGGTGCAGATTCTGCAGCTGACCCTGCGTTTGCGCTGTAAGCAGGGCTACAGTCTGGCCTGCAACCTGCTGCACCATATCCTGCGTTCCACAGCACTCACCTACCCCACAGACTACTGCAGTGTGCCCGGCGGCTTTAACAGACCCCTGCAAGAGTACTTGCCCATTAAGGTACTGTGAATGTGTCTGGTACATGTGAGGACATTTGACCAGTGGAGAAAACAGAGCAATGTATTAGATCATTGTTGATCCCATGAGTTCTCACTACCTCCCTTCTTGTTCTTTTCACAGGACTGGGGTCGTCCGGGGGACCTTTGGAACCTGGAGATCCAGTGGCATGTGCCCAGCGCAGAGGAGACAGCATTTGTGTTCTATGTTCTGGACCTGCTGCTGCAGCCTGAGCTCCAGCGTCTGCAGAAATATGCACAGGGAGAACAGGACATGAGCAGGTCAGAGGTCAAAAGTGCACTCTAATAATGGTAAAGACAAAATACCATCGTTCTGTATTGATTTTAAAAGTTGTGAATATTTTCTTGAGTTGTTTTTTCTGATGCTGCCACATCTCTGCACAGAGATGACGTTCTTCAGAGTCTGTTTATAGTCCAGCACTGTCTGCTGGGTGCTGGCAGCATGCTCCCCCCTCTTGATGGACGCACAGTCACCGGCCTGTAAGTCCTAAAACTCAGATATGAGATATGCAATTTTTGCTCTAAGTAGTGGATATGTGAAGGGATGCACAGCACTGATTAAATCATGATTATTTAATCCTTTGTATTTAATTTTTAAAGGGAAATGTTTTATTAATTTAATACTTTTATTAATCAAGGACACATTCAATTGATAAAGGTGATAGTACAGACATTTATAATGTTACAAAGTTTTCAATTTCATGTAAATGCTGTTCTTTTGAACTTTCTATTCATGATATCCACAAAATCATTAAACAGCACAATTGTTTTCAACATTGATAAAAAAAGTTAAATCTTAAATAAGACTATCTAAATTTCAGATCTAAAATTCAGATTTACATTTCATTTTAAAATATATTATACATTTGAAAAAAGAAAACAGATATTTAAATTTGTAATAAAAAAATAAACAATATTACAATTTACGCTACTTTATTCAAATAAATGCAGCCATGGATTTTTCTATATTATGTAAAAAAAAATCTTACCAAACTTTTGCATGTTAGTTCAAATATGATTTTTTTTTTTTTTTTGTTCATTCTCCTCTGTGCAGTGTACCCAGCATGGTTAGTTTGGAGGAAACAAAGCTGTACATTGGTGTTGACTACGGTAAGATTGGTGAAGTTCATAGTGGAACTCTGCTTATGAAATCTGTTGTGCTTCATGTTGTTGTGATGAATGTGCAGTTAGAGTAACTTCTTGTGTATCATGATGATAGAATAGGATATCAGCTTCTCAGTAAGACATTGCTGATTTTTCCAGATGAGTCCAGAGAGAACTACCGTGAGGCCATCTGTAAAGTGATGAGACAGTTGCTACGTAAGTGCTCCTTGTTTAGAACACCTGCCTGCACACAGAATTTACCTCATCTACATTACCCATAATTCTTAAGACAAGCATCTTCTAATTCTCTTTTGTAGATTACATTCTGGAACACTCAGAGGATGACACCAAATCCCTTTTCGCCATTATCAAGGTAAGTGTGTGGAGGAGATATTTGAGCAAACTGATTTGATCATTGTTCATCAAACTGTCGATTGTATTGGATCATATAGCAACTATTAGCCATTAAAGTTTTGTGATTTATCAGTTGTTTGTCTCCCTCAGATCATCAGTGACTTGATGCACTTCAGAGGTTCCCATAAACATGAGTTTGACTCTCGCTGGAAGAGTTTCACCTTGGTGAAGAAGTCGATGGAGAACAGGGTGTGTAGTTGGGCCTAAGAAATCTCCTGTGTCATTTATTTGAGATGTATAATTGTATTATGAATCTTCTTATTCGCTCCAGCTTCATGGGAAGAAACAGCACATCCGAGCTCTTCTTATTGACAGAGTTCTTCTTCAGCATGAGGTAGGAGCCAATGCTAATAACCTGGCATAAAGATTTGGCACATAAAAGATATTGTAGAGCTGTCACTATCGTATTTTCACTACACGATTATCGTAGCCTAAAGAATTTACAATAACGATGTTATCATGATCTCTATAGAAATTTTGAGAAAATAAACAATGCTATCCGTCGAATTCATCTATAACTTTTGTTTTCTGTTGTTTGGTCAAAGAATCACACTAAATATGTTTATAGGTATATAGAGGGAAAGATGTAAACAAAACTGTACAAATCATATTTAAAAAAACTTACTGCTGATCAGCAGATCTTCTTAAGCAATCCAAAAAACTCCCACAATGGCTGGCTAGCTTTTTTTGGGTGCAGGGTAATGTGTGTTTTTTTTTTATTAGATTATTGTCAATATTGGTATATTCCAACACCCCTAGTAGGAATTCAAAAATTGTTTTTCCTGCTCTCCACATTTAGATGCGAAAGTTGCTGGTCGAGGGGTGTGAATATAAGACTGTTCATCGGGACCTGTTGAGGGACCTTTTGCGTCTTTCCACCAGCACCTACAGCCAGGTCTGATTCCACATCCACCAAATTTTACATCAAAATAATCCCCTTTATTTTATATGTACTCTTGAATACCCATTTTTTGGACCCTCAGGTCCGCAGCAAGGCCCAAAATGTGTTGTTCACAGCTTTGGGGACCTATAACTTCTGCTGCCGAGACATTACTCCACGTGTCCTGGAGCTACTGGAGCCCACACGAACTGATGTCACCCAGCAACAGTTCAAGGTCTATAATCTATAATTCTCACTTTCTGTAATTAGCATAATGCTGTATTTGTCTTTATTGATTTAATATAATTTCTATCATATTGTGCTGTAGGGGGCACTGTACTGCTTGCTTGGGAACCATTGTGGAGTGTGCCTTGCTAACCTACATGACTGGGATTGCATCGCTCAGACGTGGCCGTCCATAGTGCGCTCAGGCCTCAGCTCAGCTATGTCTCTAGAGAAGCCCTCCATTGTCAGACTCTTCGATGACCTTGCAGACAAAGTCCACCGGCAGTACGAGACCATCGGCATCGATTTTACAGTGAGCAGCGTCGCCTGTTTTGTACATTTTGTACATAAACTTTGAAATAATGTGGTGTGTCATTCAGACTATTAAAGTGGGGACACATTTATTGTTGTTTGGTAAATATTCAAAGGTGAAATCCAGTAATTTCAATAGGAATCTACATTTTCTGGAATTTTGCATGAAAGATTTCCCCACAGTTTCAAGTTGGTCAGTGGATTTGGTGTGTTGTCCAACAGAAAGCTGTCTTGTTTAAAAGTGATTTCTGTGTAAGCTGTACTTTGTACATCACTGCACTGTTGATAATCAACAATGGACTTTTTTTTTTTTTTTTGATGACAGCATTTTTGGGGCCTGAAAATGGGTTTCAAAGTGCAAGTTTTTTGAAAACGTGTTATAGTCTCTGTAACGGCAGTATTACGAATGCGTATTACGTGTTCAGTGTATAGTGTTTCTTTACAAAGTAACATCACCAACTAGTGGCCTGGCATGCAGTAATACAGCTTTTGTAATACAGCATTTCTCACTGGTTTCATGGATCCGTGGGAATAGGGATCATTTTGACATGTGTCATCTGAATGAAACATTTTTCAAAAACACAAATGAAAAACATTTCTGTTTTTAGTACATAATTTTCGTATAAACTTACCTTCAGGCTATGTCTAAGCTGTAAAATGGTAGCAATCTTGTGCTGTACGACTCATGTTTCTCTGGATGAATCTGTAGGTACCTGAGAGTGCAGTTTTGCTAGGCCGGCACATCACTGATTCAAGCCAACCCACTCCACACATTGGCACTCCCACAGAACAGGAGCTGGAGCAGGGACTGGCACTTCAACAAGACAAAAACCATGAGGCAGTGCAGTAAGTGCTACACACATACACACTCACAACATTTAATACTCATTTAACATGGTGTAGTAAATCTTTGCTGTGTTTCCTCTTTCAGGAAATATGAAAAGATTGTGAGAGACCTGTTGGAATGTCTAGATGACAGGGACCTGTAAGTATCAAATAGATGTTTCAAAGTGCTTCATTGTTTCTATAAAACCAGACACACAAAAGCATCACTCATTTGTGAATATGTTATCGTGTGTCATCAGGCCTTGGAAGTTTGAGCACATTGCTATTGGCTTCCTGTCTCTACTGCTAAGAGATGACTATCCCCTCCCGGCCCCAGCGGTGCTCTTCTTTGTACAGAGCCTCAACCATGATGCACTTGTTGTTCGCAAGGTTCGTGGAAAGTTGTTGTTTTTTTTTTGTAAGTTTTGCATAAATCTGTATCGGGGTTGTGCTGTGTTTAGCTCCAGCCTGCTCCAATACACTTACCTAGAAGTATCTATTACTGATGAAAACCTGTATTAGCTAGTTTAGATGTGTTAAATTAGGATTAGGTTTAGGTCTAAAATCTGTAAGAAAGTGGCCCTCCAGAAGCAGGATTGGGCACCCCTGATCAACACTACTCTTTGAAATTTTGGGGTTCGTAAGATTTTTTTTTTATGTTTTGAAAGAGGTTATGCTTCCAATGGCAGCATTTAAGTGATCAAAATATAGTAAAAACAGTATCATTGTGCAAAATATTATAAAATATTACAATTTAAAATAACAGTTTTTATTTTAATCTATTTTAAAATGCAATGCAAAATTTATTTATTTATTTCTGATGGCACAACTACATTTTCAGCATCCATTTTTCCAGTCTTCAGTGTCATATTAACCTTTAGAAGTTAATATGCTAACTTGGTGCTCAAGAAAGATTTCTTATTATCAATGTTGAAAACGTTTTTGCTGCTTAACATTTTTACAATGGAACATCTTTGATACATTCAAAAGAACAGCATTTATTTGAAAAAATGTCACTTTTAATTAATTTAATGCTTCCTTGCTGAATAAAAGTATTATTTCTTTAAAACAGGGCTGTATGTTAACTTTTTTTTTCACATAGCACTGGTGCTACAGAGGTTGAAAGTTTTCTAGCACAGGCCAAAAAGTTGTAGCACAAGTATAAAACGTCTGTTATCATGTCTGAAACAAACACAAGTAATGGAGTTCATCACTTAAACATGCACTGATGTTCCATACAGAGCACAAAAAATACAAACCATCACAAAAATTGTTTTTAGACAGTTTTCTTAATTTGCTAAAAATGGAAGAGTGCAGAAACATAACACCTCTTACACCTTAACACAATATAAAATACAAAAGAATGGCAGATATTTAGGTCAAAGTGAGCAAAGATAAAAAGCTTTGTCATTATTTTATCTTTGTTATTAGAAAATAAGAGCAAATATATACATTACACATAATATACAAATAAAACAAACAGTGCTTTATTTTTCAGGTACAGTATTTAGCAGTAACATTCAAGAAATTGAATGTACAAATATTAAAATAAAACACTATATACACTATAGACATCAATTATACTTTTTTAAAAGCAACTGACTGATGATAAGTTCATCAGTCAAGAGCAGTGAGTGTTTTTTTTTCTGTGTTTTGTTGTTTTATTAACATTAAAAGAATAGTTCACCAAAAATGAAAATTCTGTCATCTGTCTTTCAATTCTGTCATAGTGTTTCATTTTTATACCATCATTTACTCAAGTTGTTTTAAACCTGAATTAGTTTATTTCGTCTGTTGAATATAAAAGTTATTTTTGAAGAATGTGGGTAACCAAGCAGTTGCTGGTCCACTGAGTGAGTAAATAATGACAGAAATGTAATTTTTAGGGTGAACTATCAGTTTAATGACAGTCGGCAGCATGTGTAGTAGCTACTGTCCCTTTAAGAGCTGCACGTGTTTCTCTCTCAACTGTTTACTTTCATTTTAGACATAACCAACTGTGTTTATATGTAAACCTTGTGTGTTTTTAACAGTATTAGACGCAAAATCAATCAGACGCGAAAGACAACTTAGTCCAATAATCAGGAGCTTTTTGACAGGCTCTCAGTGAGCGCGCTTCATGAGTAGGGCTCAGAAAAAGCGCATGCAGAGCAGCACGTGAATTAAATGTTTAACCGGTATTGCTTTAAAGCAGATGCAAATAATGTAGTTTTGTGATAGTGCATAAGTGCAGTGTCTCGTGAGAGTAACTCTACCGCTGAGCTAACACTGATGTGAATGCATGTGGCATTGTACATTATATTGAGACGGAGGGAGGCGCCAGAACTGCAGCTGATAGAATGTGCGCTGTAGCACGATACACCGATATTTCTTCAAAAGCAGATCGTGGAAACATTTTAATCGTCCACAATCAAATATCGTCATATCGCACACCCCTAACTACCAAGTATAATCAATCTCACACACACAAACAAGCACAACGAAATCACTTCACACTATTAAGCGGCTGTGTTATGAACATGCAAAACTGTATCGCACGTGTGCTACAGTGGTAAATTTATTCATCGCACAGACCAGTTTTTTCGTAGCACGTGCGACATATATGTCAGCCCTGCTTTAAAAAATAAAAAACTTACTGACTCCAAACTTTTGAACAGTAGTGTATATGCACTTAGTCTGTTACTTGTAAAACATTGTGTATATTATTGTTTTGCTTCCAATAATTGCTGATGTAGATGGCGATCGCCGCAATGGCAGGCATACTGAAACAGCTGAAGAGACCGCGCAAGAAAATACCTGTTAGTCCCTGTGATATAAGTGAGTAAACAATGCTGTAAAAACAAATAAATAGTACTATTAAATGAGGAGATGATTAAATTACTCTTCACATCCATCTGTTGGTCCATCTCAGTTTCTGTGGAAGGAGATAATTACACATGTGGTGCCTTGCAGGTGGGGTAACGGAGCCGGAGGGGCTGGTGGCAGGAGACAAGCCGGGGAATGACTGGCTGCAGTACCATGGTGACAGCCTGCCGAACACCCAGCAGGACTGGGACAATTTCTGCTTTGTAGAGAAGACACACTGGGGCTACTACTGCTGGCCAAAGTAAACACTCTCAGCTTCTGATCACTGTATGATTCACTCCAAATCTCTGCTTCTAGCCATTTTTCTCACTCTCTCCATTTCTCTGCTAATAGGAATTTGATGGTATATGCCCCAGCAGCGGAGCAGCCCAAGGATCTTTCCGCTGAGAACATGAATGAGGTATACATGGACTGACTGTGCTAGACTTTGTTTTACTGCCAAACTTGACAGTATGTATACTAAATATGATTTTTTGACAGAGGGAGCGCGTCATCTATGACCATTTCACAGAACCCATGTTCATCAAACAGCTCATTGAGTTCCTGTCTCTTGAGGACCGAAAGGGCAAAGACAAGTTCAATCCTCGTCGCTTCTGTCTCTTCAAGGTACCAACATCGTAACACAATAATCATGGTAGTGGAGATAAAAGTACAGTTTGGCAGTATGCTAGAAAATAAATCAACAAAAAGATTTATTTGGCTGTTTAATATGACAATATTGTCTCTAGAGATTACAATCTAACCTGTACCAATACGCACCATCATTCAAAATGTTTGGGGGTCAGTAAGATTTTTTTTTCTTTGTTTTTGAAAAAAAAAAATATATATATTTAACCCTATTACCTTATTCTCTCAAGACTGTATTATTTCATTAAAAATAGTTAAACTGTAATGTTATGAGAAATTATCATTTAATATACTTATTTTATATAATATAATATATTTTATACTTAGTAATTTCCTCCTTTGATGACAAAGCTGAATTTTCTGCAGCCATTATTCTAGTCCTCGGTGTCACATGTTCCTTCGGATATTATTCTAATATGTAATTATGTGATATGTGATGATAATAATAAAAAAAATTACTGACCCCAAACTTTTGAACAGTAGATTATAAGTGGTTAGAATGAATGCTGTGCCATTACAGATTGCACAATTTTTGGACAAATGTGAAGTGAACAACATGATGGAGATTTAACCTTAGATTCACTCTCTCACATGTTTGATGCCATTTCATTTGCAATCCAATTATGATATTGTGATGCATTGCTGTATATTGAATTGTGACTCATGTATCATGATGTGTATCATACACGGCTCTCATTGAAAGCATGTTGAATAGCCTTTGTGATCTGAAGAAATATTTTTAGATGTTCCTGTACATATTGTTAACAAGCCACTGTTTGTCCTGGACATTTGCTTACATTGTCCTCTGCACCAGGGTGCATACAAAACTCTCAGATGCAGAGAGTACATTAAGATCAGTCACCACACAATTCCCCTGACTTCTATTTTTGGGTTCTCAGCAGAGAGAAAACATTTAAAAGTTAGCATTTATTGGATCATTATCATCCTGTTTATGTTCGCTGATTCCAGCAGTTTTGTTGCAGTTTCCCCAGCTGTAATTCCCAAACCGAGAGATTGCACAGATTGTGAGGATGTATTCAATAAATGATTTGTGGAGAGCAGTAAATATAATTGTGCTCCCAGCCACATCTACCTCTGCAAATCTCTGCATTTTAACCAGCTCATAAACCTGCCTTACTCATCTGCCATACGAATTTATTACAAAATACAGATGGCTTGCTTTCTCATTCAACGCACACAGGGACTTTTCCGGAACTACAGTGATGCTTTCCTGCCTGTTCTAAAGCCTCATATGGAGCGGCTGGCAAATGACTCTCACGAGAGCACCCAGCGCTGTGTGGCTGAGATCATTGCAGGACTGGTTAGAGGCAGCAAGCACTGGAGCTTCAGCAAGGTGAGCACCGCTGCAGGCATGAGAGATGCACTAAGCTTAGGAAGCCACTGAGATATTTAACCACACTGATGTCTGAAACCCATCTTTCATTCACACAGGTGGAGACATTATGGAAATTCCTGATTCCTTTGATGCGAACGGCACTGTCCAATATTACTGTCGAGACCTATGCTGACTGGGGTACCTGTGTGGCAACCGCCTGTGTATGTGTCATAGATCTTCAGTCTGTTAAATTGTATGCCACATAATCCACCACCTGAATGTCTGCTTGCAACCAACAGTAAACGGTCTTCAAAATGTTAAAAATAGACTTCAGGGGGAAAGGTCTATATATAAATATCAAGATAATTTAGATGTAATATTTAAAATATCCAAATATTTTAATATCAAATATTTAAATAGTTTTTTAAACTTCAATTTAACACATTTTTAATTACTTTAAAGGGGTCATATGATGCGATTTCAAGTGTTCCTTTCTCCGTAGAAAACGAAGCGTTTGAGAGAGGCGGGGCATAGAGGACCTACAATAATGTACAGTATTTGAAAAATTATGTGTTTTTTGAACATTAAAGCATGTCAACATATTCTGTTACACCAAATACACAAAATAATGATCTTTAAAAAAGCATCATATGACCCCTTTAATTCAGCAAGGTTGCATTAAATTTGTCAAAAGTGACTGTAAAAACCTCTTTATATTTATCAAAACATTATTGCTCGAAACATTTCTTCTTATCAAATTAGAATATTTCTGAAGAATCGTGTGTCACTGAAGCCATTTTTGCTGCGGCGCCCAGGGTGCAGTTGGGGGGGTTTGGTGACTCTAATCATTAGGCCACGACTGCACGACTGTATGTGAAGCTATGAGAACAACTCACTGTTGATGTTTGATGTTTTCAGGAGAGCCGAGATCCACGAAAGCTTCACTGGCTTTTTGAGATGCTGATGGAGTGTCCTCTCAGTGGGGAAGGTGGATCGTTTGTAGATGCCTGGTAGGTGTATTTTGTTTTAGTTTGTGGGACAATTCTGAAACCATTTAGACTTGGATGCATATTTGATATTTTGATAATTAAGAGATATAATTTGTTTCTCTCTCTGTAGCCACCTATACGTGCTGCAAGGTGGTCTGGCACAGCAGGAGTGGAGGGTCCCAGAGCTGCTACACAGATTGCTTAGTTACCTGGAGCCCAAACTCACTCAGGTTTATAAGAATGTGAGAGAGCGCATTGGCAGGTATGTCTGCAGTTGAGGTCAAAACGTTCACTGTAGTCTAAAAATACACTGGCAGTTCAACTGATTCTCTCTTGTCATGATTTCTGTCTTGTCATGTCTTCTCTTGCAGTGTGCTGACGTACATTTTCATGATTGACGTCACCCTGCCACACACTCTGCCTACTAAGTCACCACACATTGCGGAGTTTACTGAAAGGATCTTGTCTCAGCTGAAGCCCCTGATTGAGGGAGACGAGGAGATCCAGAACCACGTGGTGGAGGAGAACGGAGTGGGGGAGCAGGACGAGAGGACCCAGGCCATCAGACTCCTCAAAACTGTTCTGAAGTGGCTGATGGCCAGTGCGGGGCGCTCCTTCTCTACTCCAGTACCTCAGCAACTGCAGCTGCTCCCCCTGCTCTTTAAGGTCTCGCATGCTCGCTCTCTCTCTATCTTAGCTCTCTCTCATCCTTTATACATTTGTGTGGAGTGCTCTTAAGTGGATTGCTGACTTCCACTCTGTGACTGATTCTCTCCATCTGTAGATCGCTCCTGTAGAAAATGATGACAGCTATGATGAGCTGAAAAGGGACGCAAAGATGTGCCTGTCCCTCATGTCTCAGGGTCTCCTCTATCCTGAGCAGATCCCTACGGTACTGAAGGTGCTACATGAGGTAAGGCCTCAGACATGCTTGACACGACCCCACATATCAGGACGACAGTTTGAAAGCTGAATTTGACCTTGACTATTTTTATTTTTTTTTACATTAGAGCGTAATGAAGTGAAACTAAAACTATTAAAAACTGTTGCCAGTAATTGAAATAAAATTAAACTATTGATGAAAATTTGAAATATTAGAAACTGAAATAAATGTAGCTCTGATTTTATTAAATAAATATGAGCGCTGCACATTTCAGTTAGCTGTTGCCTGCTTTGTTTACTGCCGTTACCGGGGAAACCGCTGTATTTCTGCCACTTCAAAAGCGCCTCCTGCTGGCAGAGCTGCTGTTTTTGATCGGACCAATGTGAAAATCAACCCATGTTTTTACGCTGCAAACATGCAGACTTGTAAATGTGAACTGGTCGATCAACAAGAAGATGATGCATTATAAAAATGTAAACAATTAAGAGTAAAATATATTAATAGTTGATTGATTATAGTTGTTTATATTTAATAATTGATAGTTTTCCCTTACGAAAATTAACCATGGTTTTACTGTAGTAGAAGTGTAGTAACCATGTTTTTTTTTTATTTTTTTTTTAGCATAACTACCATTTGTATAACCATAGTTTTAAAATACCGTGAATTAAAATATGGTTAGTGTCAGTGGTGGAAATGGCCAAAATTCACTGGGGGAACTCTTGAGTTGGGGTAACTTTTTGACAACCTTTCAGATTTAATTAATTATATAAACCTTTATAATCTATAACATTAAACTTATTTCAGGTTTCCTCTAAACCATATGTTTTTTATGTATCAAGATCAAAGGCACCCTGTGTAACAATACATTCAATTAGTATAAGACGACACAATCAGGAAGCATAAGACCAATCAAATTAAATCTTTTTTTATTTTTTTTTATTAATCTTTGCACTACAGAGTTGGCACAGAAGAACACAAAAGTGGCATTTAGGTATATTTACAGACTGTTTAATGAGGCTCAGAGGTGGCATGAAAGCATTTAAATTCATAACAATTTTATGTGATGAATGTCTGAATATAGAAATATTAAATTATTTAAATAGGTGGGTGCAACTCACTGTCTTTGTCACTGAATCATTCAGTCAGTTAATTTGTGACTGTTCAAAAACATTAATTAAAAAATGATTATTATTATATATTGCGCTACGTTTATGTGTGTAGGCTATTGAATGAATAAAACATAGAAATCCCTTTCATTTCTAAAAAAAATCTAACCAGTTGGAGCTGGAACGTCGGCCCCCCCTCGAAATTCACTCCCCGGACTCAGTCCCCCGGGTTCCCCCCTCATTTCCAGCCCTGGTTGTGTAGCAAAACCATGGTTAATTTGTGGTTACCATGGATTAACTATAGTTTTTTTTTTCTCCCACTTTCTTAAAAATGGTTTAAAGGCTGAGATGTGAAGGTCATGATCATTAAACTTTTTGTTGTGGTGAAAACCTGTATCTGAACTGTAAATCATGCTTATATATATATATGAGGGAGAGAGAATTTAATTTATTTACCATTATTACCCAGTCCTAGTGAGTACTGTGTTTGCTGTGTAACCATGATATTCTTGTTATTTTTTCAGATTGCTGGCAGCAGCTCTTGGCATGCACGATTCTCAGTGCTAACATACCTCCAGATAATGGTGTTCTATAATCTCTTCACCATACTGAGCAATGAGCAGGCTGTTCAGGACGTAAGAGCACTGGTCATCAGGCTACTGGAGGATGAGCAGCTGGAGGTACCTTTCGGGCCACACTGGCATGCTGGCATCATCATTTATTCACTTTTATGCAGCCTTATTCATTAAACCTTCATCCCTTTGCATTTTTGTGCCTTAGGTGAGAGAGATGGCTGCCACCACTCTCAGTGGCTTCTTGCAGTGTAACTTCTTGGCAATGGATGCCTCCATGCAGACTCACTTTGAGGCTCTATGCAAAACCAGATTACCCAAAAAGAGGAAGAGAGACTCTGTGGTGGACACTATTCCTTCAGTCGGTATGATCACGCTTAAATCACATGCAGTGCTGTGCTGTTTGTATCAGAGCCATGGCACAGTGCTAACATTGAATGCCTGCCAAATTTCAGAACCAAAGTCATTTAAGTTCAAGTCTGGTCTGAGTC